AACTATGATTGGAAAATCAAAAAGTAAACAATAATTATCAATCCCGTAAATTTAGCACACAACCCCCCAAAAAAATAAATTGAATATTAAAATATATATTTTTTTAAATCGAAATTAAATATTCTGTCATATTTGTAATTGAAAACTTAATTTTGTAAATAAAAAAGAGTATATACATATATTATTAATTAAAATCTTAAATAGTATATTCTTGTAATTTTCCAATAAAAATACATAGTACCATTGAATATTTTTAGTGTGACAATTTAGTAGATTGAGAATGGGCCCGATTTAGGTGGAGAATTTACTTAGATGGAGGATGGGCCCAAATTAAATTGTCTTTGGTTTGGACCATCGACCCAAATAGCTGTCAATTGATTTAGGACAAAAAATGATCATTACTATTGGCAACTATAGGATAGGCTTATTTATGGGTCAACTTCATACCATTCAAATTTTGGGAGAATGATGTGTATATATCTAATAATAAGACAAAAACAGAATTCTTTTACAAAATATATGTGAAATTCTCACTTTAAATTTTTCTGTATGAAAATGGTATGAAATGTGTGTACAGTAAAATCTCTATGAATCAATATAGGCGGGACCATGAAATTTTATTATTTTATAGAGATATTATCTAATTGATAAATTAATATTTATTAATTTAAAGAACTGTCACGCCCCAAGCTACCCCCAAGACGCGGACACGGGACCTAGGACCACAAGTGATCCCAAGCTAACCCTGCTGGCATGATCATGAGCATACTAAAGATAATAAACTGATGCGGAAGCTAAATCATAAATAAATCTGAAAAGATGGGGAATACCCATATACTGTAACTGAATATATCAAATATGAGAGTTTAATACAAAAGAAATATCAAACTCAAGATACTAAGCTGAATCTAACTATATCTGAAATAAGCCTCTAAACTGACTAGAAATGTTGGGACATGCCCCAACTAGATCTAGCAAAACTGAAACTAAAGACTAAAATACTGAAAAGAAACTCATGACTATTGTCCCCGATGAATGAGGACTCACCAACTGATTCTGCTGAACTGAAGATCGAGAACCGATCTAAGCGTGACCTGGATACTGAGAACCTGAACCTACATCGTAAGAAGATGTAGCGCACGTATGCGTCAGTACTTGAAAGGTACTGAGCATGCAAGATAGAGTAAAGCTGAAATAACATATAACTGAACAAAGCAATAAAGCAATGAAATAATCTGAACATGATATAGATACTGAATATACTGAATACTGAGCTAACTGATGCAATGACCAAATTTATAACATGCTGAGACTGAATACTGACTGTACTGAAATATGGTCAATGCAATAGAGTCTGACTGAACTGTGGGAGCTACTAATAACCGACATAAAACCACATGAGCTAAATGTGGAGTCTGCTGTATACGCCCCATCGAGAGGACCCAATATACCCTGCCAGAGGTATAGAGGCATGCTGGCGTGATCACTAAACTGATGTTGCCCACAGAGGGGACTTACACCTACGTGGCTCGTAGTTCTGGGACTATATGGGTACGCTGAAACCCTAGTCCAACTCGGTATTATGCTACTCCCAATAGATTAAGTGGTTAACACATTATGACTGAGTTTTCTGTAAATACTGGATTAGCTCGAACTGAACATGCAAACTGAGAATGCAACAATTAATCTGATAATGATGCATTCATAAACTGAGGCATGTATAACTGAATACTGAAATATCTGACCTAGCATGTGTAATTCAAGAACTAAAGAAATACATAGCTAGGGTTCTGAAATTCATGAGATAAACTGAGCAATAACATGATAATCTGATTTGGAACATTTAAATAACTAATTCATGATGATCTGCTATAATTCTAGAAACCCTAGGTCTGTTCATAATCATGGAATCAAGAATCTGACTGAATTCTAGGGACTTAATGGGCGAAAGGAACCCACTAGTGAAATCCCACATACCTGGTGACGAATTCCATGGAGAAATCTTTCGATTTCGGGGCTGGAACTGAAGGAACCTTGCTGCGTTCTTGAACTAGGGTTCTTGACTTCTTTTCTCCTTTTAGCGTTCTAATTCTTCTAAGTTTGATTAATGATTTGACTTAGGTAAGTTCTAGTTATGTTTCTAGGCTTAAACTAATTAAAACCTCATGATTTAGGGTTTAAACGACGTATCTTAGGGGTTAAACGAAATAGGAAAAGACCAAAGGACCCCTAAATTAACTGATGTCGGAGTGATCTACGGATTGGACCTACGGGCCGTAGGTCAATCTACGGTCCGTAGATTGCGTCCGTAAGTCAAGCCTGTTCGACAGGCCTTCGCTAAAATGGGCATAACTTTTTACTCGGAGGTCGGAATTTAGCAAACTTGGTGGCGTTGGAAAGATAATTCAATTATCTATCTAACCATAGGTCATGGGACACATAATTCATTTTGTGCTAAACGTTATGACCATCTGAAGTTGACCCATCAGAATTTTCAGCTAACTGGCTGCTAACCTTCGATCTACGATCAGACCTACGGACCATGGATCGAATGACGATCTGTGCTGGTCAACCGTAGTTCGTGTCAGAGGCTGGGTAAGGAGATCTTGATCCACGGACACAGACCACGGACTGTGGTCTGATCTACGGACCGTGGGTCTGTCCGTGGGTCGAGACTTAGCCAATTTTTTTCTGAGCTGGCTGGGGAGGGGTTGCAGTGGCGAACCACGGACCACCAGGACGGGCCGTGGTCTAACCTACGGTCCGTGGATGGTGACCGTAAGTTGCACCTGCAACTTCTCAAAATCTGCATTTTTGGTCCGTTTCGGATACGGGGTGTTACAAGAACGGTTTGAGATTTAACGAAGGTTAATTTTGATTATATCAAAATCATTGTATCTTACTAATTTATGTATCATATTTATTGATTTCACATAAAAAAAAATATTATACATAAAGTACAACGAATACATCAAAATCATTATATCTTACTAATTTCAACCTTGTGATGTTGGGATAATAAGAGCTTTCAAGATGTATTATCGTAACAGACTTTATTGTAGGATATTAGAAGGCTATGAAGTGGGACAAACTGATCCAACAAAGATTAATGTTTAGGATGCTATCAATTTTGGAATCCCTGCTTGGACAACAAATGTTCAGCAAGAGACAATAGCAAATTGTTTTTGACACTGTAAAATTCGGTCGGGGGATGCAATCTCAGAAAATTTGAAAGAACCCACTGGTGAAAACGTCATTCATGAACTCGAGGTCATGATTAATGATCTCAATTACCACAATAAAATGGATGTCTATAACCTATTGGATTATCCGGGTGAAAGTGATACATATTCAGAGGTCTAGAGCTTAGAAAAAATTGTGGATACCATCGAAAAAAACAATGTTGATGATGAAGTGAATACGCGTAAGGAAGCACTTATCGCATCTAGAACTCCTCACAATTTCATGGTGCAATTCAAAAAGACAACATCGGAGCTCTTGGATGCAATAAGAAAAGTTAGAGATAAGTTTCAACTAAATTTAAATTTTAAGAAAAAACAGAACACAAAAGAATAATAATTCACTAAATTGTCTAAGATATATTTATACTTTCAAAGAATTATTAATTTATGATATTAACGGGACCATATATTTATATAGGGATCTTCTGGAAATATATTATCTTATTATTTTATCGAAATTGGTGATTTTTTCCATTGGCCCAAATCGGGACCGGAGGAAATTATTATTTTAGAGAGATTATTAATTTACCGAGTATTAATTTATAGAGGTTTTACTGTATATGCCCAATTCTTAGAATTTTTGTTCATAATTTTGTATATAAAATCAATATATATGTATGGTGTTGAAATGTGTATAAACTGTATAAATTTTGTAAAAAATGCATGTTAGGTTTCTATAAATTTAATATAACTATAATAATATTATATACTACTTTCATACAATATTCATACGAATTCGATACAACTACAACAACAAACAGAACTTCAAATATAAGTTTTATACAACTAAGCATACAATTATCATACAACTACAATTTTAATACATTTCGGTTGTAACTTCAAACTTCAACGAATTAGGATTAAAATTCAATCCATAAGTAGCTCAAATTTTATCCAAATTCCCAAATTTCATATTCAAACATCCATCAACGTTCTACATCTTGAGATATCATCCACTTGAAATGGAGTATAATTTCTGTAAATCGATTTTTAAAACTTTAGCTTCGAGCTCCTTTGATGGCTGACAATTGAATTTTGGAATAAATGATTTTCTTTAGCTTAAAAATGAAAGGATTTTATTTATCTGAAAGGATCATTCATACAAAAAGGAATTGATCTATATGTCACAATTCCAATAGCATCTCTATCGAGTGCATTACTTACAGAAGAAAGAGATGCATAAAAATCACAAGGTTGGTTTCCATTCATATTTGAATTCTTTGATTTCCTTCCGTGGACTTCTATTTGTACTTATATTTTTGAAAAGTTTATTATTTCTGTTTTTTCAAATATTCCGAAGAATGAAAGGGGTTAGAAAAGATGATAGTTGTTGATTGGAGTGATGAGGGTTGTAGATAGAACAATATAATTGATGGATGTTATTGTGAAAGTCTTGATTATTTATTGTTATTCCATATTTATTCTGGTTGTGGATGGCATCTGGACAATCCACAAAAATATAAATAATATTTTCTTCTATATTGATGCATGTGGAGCAAGTATTTATATTTGGTTATATTTCTATAGAATAAGGCAGATGAAGTAGGCAGTTTCTTTAATAGAGGCAACCACTTGAAATTTTTTATTTTGTTTAATGCTTCTAGTTTTCAAATCCACTTATAGTTGGTATTGTTGCTAGCATTATCAATATGACATCTTAAACTCATTTCATGCCAACCGGCAGAGTTTGAGACCATCAATATGAACAAAAACTGCAGGCCTGTGAATATTTTCTAGTTTTGAAACCATCTACTCAAATTTAAGAAACCAGCAAAGCTAACGGCCCGCATTTTTTTTATGGTTAATGATCGGCAAAAACTAGTACAACATACACTGAAGTCAATGTATTATGAAAATTCAAAAGGCGTCACATGATAAATACATAGAAAACAAGGCTCAGCCGCTCCAATAAAACTTTATTCTAAGACCACCACCGCTAGTTGCTGAATCTTCACCCCGTAGGAGCAATTAACCCTGGAGGCCAATAATACCTGACAAGAGTGACAATACCACATGTTACAACTACAAACATAATTAAGAACAAAACCAGGCTTGCCTGTATGATTCTCAAAAAGCAGATGATTCAAACTTGTCATTTTAAAGCACACTACTGGCAAATGGCAAACTTAGATTTGAAAGCAAAAGAATCTTGCATGTTTCTATTTTACTCAAACAAATAGCCCAGAAGAATCATTTGAAAGAGAAATCACAGAGATTGAACTAACCCATCAGCAATTGATCAATGTAACTACGACACATAATTAAATGACTAAATGAGACATAATCAACGAATCTAGTCCCAGACGCAAGAAAATTAGTACTTACCACAAGCAATCCTTCCGCCAGCATTTCCAGTGCTTTTACTGAGCTCATGTCCTCCTAAAACAGCAGGAAAACAAATTTTATGTCAGATTAAGTGAAAGTGGGTTACAAATATGGTTAAAGTAAATTATATTTTAACTGTTTTTTATTCCATGAAAGGATTTCCAATGCTCCTACACCAGACACCAAGTTCCTTTAGAGGCAAATAGAATACTAAACCTCGTAGCTAAATAGAGCACAACTCTTTTGTGCATAATCTTAAACTCATATATCATTGTACGCCCACTTGATTTACTTGCAACTATAGTCCACTTCCCTACTTTCAATTTTCTGAAACAAGTTGCTACTTGGTCATCCTCCTTGAACTTTGCATTTGAGACCTCACAATTTGCAAAATAAGAAACATACTTCTTGCAGTTCAACCATTCCAAGCACACACACTATAGGATATAACCTATGGGTCTTGGAGCCTGTTTGAATTGACTTTGGCTTATTTTTATCATTTTAGCTTAAAACTAAGAGCTTGTTAGTGCACTTCTTTAATTTACCCAAACATTTCAAAAGTGCTTAAAAGTTATTTCGGCTTAAAAACACTTAAAATAAGTCAATCCAAACAAGCTCTTATCCAGCCTCAATCCCCAAGAATTTAGAAGTAATTTTAGATGGATAAAGCAAAGGGCTCACAATGACTTAACTCTAAGCAAAAATAGAACTCAATAGCTTATCGTTGTTATACATTCTTCTTATTAGTTTTCAGTCCACCTTTCTTACAATCAATCAATCACAAGTCTCAGCTTCAGGCTAAAATCAATTTACAACATCTGCAAATGTTAGTCCATCCCCACCCCCCTCTCTTACAGAAACATTAAAAAAAGATAATTTTTTTCTATTAGATTGCATTTAAGTGACTAGACTTTTGATAAATACAAACGAGGGAAGTGAGAGGAGAAGCATAATTAAATGGTAACAGGCAACCAAGCATCATGGAATGAAAGAATTTCTAGAACAATTTGTCCAAAAAAATACTTAGACTGTTTGTCAGCTAGTATTTTACAAACTGACCCACGTTAGCTCCAAGTGTCCAACACCCACATCTCACAGACAGTCCATACACTGTCCTATTCCAGATTTGAATTCAAAATCGGAACCTGTATAACATGAACCAGTTCTTGCCCCTAGAGCTTTGTTTAGTGGAAAGAGCGCAACACATGAGGTGTAGATTAAGTGCACATCATAGGTTCGAACTATACACAGACAAAATCCTAGTATTTAAGTGGAGAATCGTAGAGAGGCGGGCCATTATCCACCAATTGCACCACCGGCCCGCAGGAATTGCATGGCCATTAAAAAAAAAAGATAGCACCTATTCATTCCTTGAGAGCATGTATATGAACGATCACATCCTAATTCCTCAAGGAGATTTAACATCACTCAGAAATGCACACACCTCTTCCCACTTGATTTTTTGAGTCAACAATTACCAGGCATTATTTTCAGCTCAGATATACAGAGAATGGTAAATCCTTTGAAGAAGAAAAATGAGATCTTATGGGTGCTGGGGAGATGTAAAAATGATAAAAGTGGATCCTTGCTAGGGGTGGTCATGGTTAAGATTGAACCCCTTTCTCTTTCACTTTGACTACTCTTCTTTAAATGAACCCAGTGGATCCTTGCTAGTGTGGTCATGGTTAAGATTGAACCCCTTTCTCTTTCACTTTGACTACTCTTCTTTAAATGAACCTAGTGGATCCTTGCTAGTGAGGTCATGGTAAAGATTGAACCCCTTTCTCTTTCCCTTTGCCTAGTCTTATTTAAATGAACCTAGTTGCTAGTGTGGTCATGGTTAAGAACCCCTTTCTCTTTCTCTTTCTCTTTCTCTTTCACTTTGCCTATTCTTATTTAAATGAGCCTTCATCATTTTCTTCAAAATTAAATTAGAACATATGACACAATCACATCTAGACTTCTTCCTTCTCCAATCCATAATATTTTCCATTATTATACACCAACCTTCCAAATATACTTCTTACAGAAAACACATGAAATAGAAATGGGGTTTTTATATGTCAAGCACTATGGACAAAATGGAGTGTTGATGGCCTCAAACTAAAATAAAATGTTGAGTGTCAAGGTTATATGTATTTTATTTCTTACTTTCTTATCCTCTTTCATCTTTCACATTCTGTTGTATTAAAAAAAGCATGCCGTACTCAGCTCATTAAAGTTTAGTCACTGAAGTAGGGGAACTAACCCTTTCCAAGATCATCAGGATCAGCATGAACAACAACAGCTCTTCCAATGATGGATTGTGAACCAGTGAGAGGAATCTGCAAAATATCAGGTTGCCAATTAGTTCAGGAACAAATATATAGCAAGACTAAAGCTTAGAGTTCAACAAAGAATTTACCTGCTTGTCGGTAATAGTAAAAGATGCAGTACCTGAAATTTTTTCCAATGATTACACTGTTAGTGATGCTAACTAATTTGGAATTATGCGAGGAGAGAGAGGGAGAGAGCAGGCAATGACCTCTTTCAAATAAATTTTGGCTTCACTACGCAAAATAATTGTTGTTTTCGAGACAATAAAATTATGGGTAAACCTTTACTGCAGCAGAATTAATTTTTCCAAAGGTAGTGGATTACCACTATACATCATGTCAAACCAAACACACTAGGCATAGAAGATGATAAAAATCTTCAGATTGCAGACATACGGTTTGAAAATAAATAAGGATAACTACAACCAGATTAAGTTAAATTATTAAACAAGGAACCCTTACCATCTTCTCCAACTGTGATGTTACCAAGATCACCAGCATGACGCACCTCATCTTCAGGAGCACCATGCTCCTTACCAGCAGGATTGTAATGTGGTCCTGCAAGTTAACAAAGAAAAAATTCAAAATTCAGAACATCTAAAAATCATTTCTATGTCGCAGTCCCAAGTAGATAAAAATGAAATTACCTGTTGACATGCAGCCATTTGTGGTATCACCAAGGGCATGGACATGGAAGCCATGAAGTCCAGGTTTTAGGCCAGAAATATTTCCATTAACTGTGGTTGGAGCTGTATGCATTACATCAGTTAGAGGTCACCCATGATAAATGCATGAAAAAACCATTTTACAATTATTAAAGTAAATTACCATCTCCATCTTGAGTGAAGAGGATGGTGCCACTAACACCTTCACTGCTGTTAAGGACGGCGACGGCCTTCACCATTTTTGTATGTGATCTAGAAAATTATGATACAAGAGTCTGTTATCAAGGCTACACATTTAAGAGCCCATATGAAGCCGCTAATAAGTTAATATGCGGCTCATCTCATAAGATGATAGACAACATTTCCATATACAAGTTTGAATTTATAGAAAATCGCATTTGGCCAATCAGTTAGAAACATAAAGCAAGGAAGTATTTCAGTCACAGCCCAGACGATATATAGTTCATCTCGAAAACAAGTCGATCACATAAATTGACATCCAAAACCTTAGGCATTCCATTTCTTCATCTCAACCATATAAGAATATCTATAAGAGGGGATACAAAAACACTTGGTCATGTTTGTTCTGAAATAACAGAAAAACGATCCTTTAGTTTTCCAAACAAGCCCAAACTGTGTTGTTTTTTGGAAATAAAACAAAACAAAGAAAGCACAAATTTCGTCTTAAAACACTATACAATGTTATCTTCAACCTGAACATTCACAAAATCCTCATGTTCTCGCCCAAGCACCATCAAAGAAAGACAGTAAACATCTTCTTGCAGCAGGATTTGCTCACACACACAATTTGCAGGTGATACGTTTTAGTGTTATACAATCCTTACAATTAGAAATGCCTATGCATCAGTCCTAATCGAAAAGGCAAATACTTCTAAAATCAGACAAAAGCAAACTCTAATTAGATCGAACCACACATCCATAGACCATAGGCGGATACAGAGTAACGGCGCAAACCATAAATATTTATGATTAAAAATCCATAAACCCATAACTTTTAAAAGACAGTGAGTTCTGCTAAGATCCTTAAAGATTTAACCCATAAATATTCAATCAATCTTAGATCCGCCTCTTAGCAAGGTCTGAAGATGATATCCTAATCTTCTCTTTCTATATGTTCCTAATAAAATTAATATCTACTCAACAATCAGCTTCCACCAGAATCAACATAAAAATAAACGCAGACAGCGACAGATTCAAAAGTGAAAGTTGTAAAGAAGTCTAGATCTGCAAAATCAGAAGTTGAATCCAACAACGAAGAGTTTCAAGACCAAATCCAACGGCGTGAGAATCCAGAGAAAACGAATAATCAAAAGTCACCATAATAGAACATCGAAAACAGATGCAAGGAACAAATTGAATTACCTCAGGTCACCCTTGAATGGCTTATAGAGAGAGAGAGAGAGAGAGAGAGAGAGAGAGAGAAGTCCAATATGCGTACTGATGATAATGAGAAGTTCGATAATTGTAAGAGTGAAATGAGTGCTTGCTTTTTATTGGACTGAGCAGTGACCTGTTGGAGGGGGTGGGTAGGTTGCCGGCTGGCTAGTGTGTGATTAGCGCCGTATTCCTTTTGCCAACTAACCTCTACGTGCCTTAGGTCATTCATATCACGTGTTACGACTTTAGAATTATCTAGAAGCTAACATCATTTCCAACCCAAATCTCGATGGCTTGACCTAGTTTATCTAAGATTATGGTCCAACTCAAATCTCGATTAGGCCTGACCTAGTTCAATCTAGATCATGGTCCGATGGATTCACTGAATGGCTATTTTAATCCTCCAATCCCCAAAAGAGTTTTTATCTACATTTTTATTTTAGCTTTTGATTCTACCTCTACACCATAAAAACATGCTATCTTTGACTATTTTTATTTTTGGAGTAATATTGATGCTATTGAGTTTGGTGAAATGGGAGCAAGTTTCAAAATTCAATACTCTATATGTCCCAATTTATGTGATATTTTTTGTTTTTTGAGAGTCATCCGGCAATTTGCGCATGGAATCTTCAAATCTTTTGAAATGAAATTTATATATTTGTAAACTACGTAAAAAGTACTATAAGTCACAATAATTAATAATTCAAAACGTTTAAAAGATTTATGAAAAACTTATGATCAAAAATAGACTTGTTTGAATCTCAAAATGCGAAAAGTGTCACATAAAACAGGACGGATAGAGTATTTATTTTTGAGTTTTTGATTATAGTTGTTTGTTTCTAGTATAACTTACATAAATCTCATAGTGTAAAGAGTAAATTACATCTTATCCCTACTCTTTTTCTAATTACAATAATCCCTTAAAATTTGACCTTCCGGATACATTAATTTACCATCCAGATACATTAATTCTAATACAAAAAGAATCTTTATGTTGCTCTAAAAAGGGAATAAAATCTGAAAATTAATTAAATCTCATGAATTACTCTTACGTTTCTTCTTACTCTCAATCATACAGAGGCAAATCCTATTAGAATGAAGAAATTCAAAATTTTAAATTGCTCCTCCATCAACAAAGAAACCTTTCAGATTTGATTAAAAAAAATTGTCGAATTTTTGGGTAAGCGAGGTGAGTTATGAAGAATACAAAGTGATGGAATTGTTGTTGGACAAATGATTTCCTTTTGAATCTTCAAGTTCATCGAAAGATCCTTTCAATTTTGATTCAAGATTGTCAAAAAATTTGAGATTCAAGATTCTTTCTTCTCCCAATTCATCGAAGATCCTTTCAATTTTGATTCAAAATTGTTGAAAAATTTGATATTCAAAATTCTTCTCCTAGTTTATTGAAGATCCTTTCAATTTTGATTCAAAATTGTCGAAAATTTTGAGAAGATACATCATGAATATTTTTGCTACTTAACATTTTACTATTTATGTATCTTGTTTAAATTGATAAATATTGTATTTATACTAGATACATTAAATAAATAATTGTTGCTCATAAGATGTTAGATTTGAGATCGATACATTACCGTGTGAGAATTGCTATGTAATTGATACATTTAGTATAAATTCAAATTTACATATTATATCTAAAAAATAGTGCATGATACATTACTATTTATGTATCTCGTTTAAATTGATAAGTATTGTATTTATACTAGATACATTAAATAAGTAATTGTTGCCCATAAGATGTTAGATTTGAGATCGATACATTAACTTGTGGTAGTTGCTATGTAATTGATACATTTAGTATAAAATCAAATTTATGTATCATATCTAAAAAATTAGTACATGATACATTACTATTTATGTATCTCGTTTAAATTGATAAGTATTGTATTGTTACGGGATACATTAAACATGTAATTGTTGCCCACGAGTTTTTTGGTTTGAGATCGATACATTTAGTATAAATTAGTATTTATGTATCATGCCCGTATAATTTGACGTAGCTATGTATCATATACAAAAAAAATTATGAATATGATAAATAATGATTTAGTAAAAAAAAATAGTACTGCACATACATAACAAACATATGACACAAACCTATTTATATAAGTGACACTTTTTATGATTCATTTTGTCCTAATTTTCTCCATATTTGTTCTGTCATGTCCATGTATGGGTGGTTTATTTTGTGTATGAAAAATTACCCCAATATTCACATGATTTTCCAACATTATGATACATTACAATTTTATCATGCACAATGTATCGTGTTAAATATTAGTTTTAATACATAACCTTAATTAGTATTGATACTTGATACGAAAATTCTACCAAATGTATTATTTATCATGTATCAGCCTTTTTATTTACAAATTTCTGATACATATCGATTCTGCTCTCAAACAAAATAAGCTACATAAATAATAATGTATAATGCACTATTTTTTTAGGCATGATACGTAAATTCGAATTTATACTAAAGGTATCTGATACATAACAATTACCAAATAGTAATGTATCGATCTCAAATGTAATATCTTATGGGCAACAATTTCTTATTTAATTGTATCTAAAAGAAATACAACACTTATCAATTTAAACAAAATACATAAATAATAATATATTGATAAATCTATCCATCTCGGAAACGAAATTCAAAAAACGGTTACACAACACTATAAAAGGTATGAATGATCCATCAAAGTTATGCATCTCTTCAGCCTTTTTGTTTGTTGTATCAATGCATAACGGATACATTGAAAATCCAGACTCTTGTTTCTTCACCTCAACGATGTATTAGATCTCCAATTTTTTCCTCAACTCATCGATCTTTAATTCAGTTGCAATGACTGATTTGAGATTCACAAACCAATATTTTGACCAAAAACAATTTCATCACTTTTGTATCGTTCATACCTCACCTCACTTTCTCCAATTCTGGAATGTCTCAACAAGATCGACATGTTCATGTTGTATCAGTACAATTTGTTGACATGTTTGATTCAAAAACTGAGAATTTTTTGGAAGAATGGAAAGAAGAATTTTGGGATCTAAAAACATATACGTCATAATGTATCAATTTGTAATCGGTAATGTATCACGACTTATATATCAATATACAAATTCAAAAATTAAAAAACAGAGGGTATACATAGCAAATCCAAATAACTTGAATCAAAATTGAAGGGATCTTCGATGAACTTGAAGATTCAAAAGGAAATCGTTTGTCTAACAACAATTCCATCACTTTTGTATCCTTCATAACTCACATCGCTAACCCAAAATTTTGACAAAAGTTTTTGAATCAAATCAGAAAGGTTTCTTCACTGAATAGGGGGAGCAATTTGAAATTTTGAATTCTTCGTTCTGGATTTCCTATTGTATGATTGAGAGTAAGAAGAAACATAAGCGTAATTTATGGAATTTAATTAGATTTTCAAATTGTATTCCTTTTTTAGCACAACAGAAAGATTCTTCTTGTATTAGAATTAATGTATCCAAATGATGACTTATGTATCCAGAAGGTACAATTTTTAAGGAATTATTGTAATTAGAAAAAAAGTAGGGATATGATGCAATTTACTCCCTACACTAGAATGAATATTCTCATCAGGAGTAGTAATATGCATTGTACTTTTTTTTTCTTACAAGGTCTTATCACTGAGTTTTTCTTGTATGATTTTTAATGAGCAGCTAAAATGCGTATTATTGTTAAATATGTGTAGTCTTTTCTCTTCACTAAATTTTCTCTCATTGAACTTTTTTAAAAAGTAAGTAAATAATATATTATCCTGATGTCTATTTTGTTTATTTAGAGAAAAGTTTGAATTAAGTAAATTTGGATCCAAACTAGTTTTCACCTATTACTATGTACCTTATTCTTGGATGGGAGTATCTTTGTTGTCGTCCATCTCCAATCTCAACAGTCATGCTAACGCTTTGTAGGGTTTGTTTTAACAATTGCCACAAGACTGAAAACAGATTTCCTCGTATACTTTTAAACCCTCACTTCACAACCACTCTTGGACCTACATGACCATTTTTGTACAACCCTTTCTTTCCTTTTCAACATATATCATCACTACTCTCATGGAAATTACCCTCTGAGTTCTTTTTCTTTTAACCAGACGAGCAGAACGGAGCAGGCAAACATAGATACTACAAAGCATGTCTTTAAATATGACCAGTCTTACAGAAAATGAAACAAACAAGCATGAATGAGAGTTCCTCTCAGATTGAAAGAAATCCTATTATCTAAGACAAAGCTCATTGGAACATGACTGCAATAGAAAACTCTCCAATAAGGAGAGATATAAACCAATAACTGATGTGACTAAATAGATAACCAAAATGACACCTCCTTCCCTCCCTCCTACCAAGCTACTACATCTCAATTTTCTCTTAACATTTCTTGGTGACGAGACCCTCAATCAAGTCAGCAGCATCTTGAACTGTTTTAATAGTATGTGCATTATCTTCTTCCACAGTGATTCCAAATGCTTCCTCAAGTCCCATGACAATCTCAACCTGCACGGTTGAAGGACAATATCAATTACTAAAATCAATTAGAGCAAAACTCACACAATTCAAACAGTTAAAGCTACGTTATTATAGCTTAGAATGTGTATTAGTAGCAGAAAATAAAAACAAAGCTTGGCATCTCTTGCATACTATGGTTATAGCAGGCATTTTATCATATTTTAAGATGTTCAGGTTGATCATTTCTTGAAATGATTTACATACGGCAATAGCTAGTCACAGTTTCTAAATGAAAGCACCCTAATTTATTTTTGCAATACCACATTATAATTAGAGTTCAAACTATGTTAGGCGAACCCCCACATCGAGACACTTATAATTGTTTCAAGGGCCATTATGACCAACAAAACAATTCAGGACATAGCACTGTAAAAGTTTGTTCTAAATTCAGTATACCGTGTCAAGAGAATCAGCACCAAGTGCTGCAAATTCTGACTCTCCGTTGACAGCAGAACCACTCGGAAGAGCCAGTTGTTTCTTCACAATTTCAC